ATGGTGCCCTGTGTCTAAATTACATAGCTCATTTAAATACGTTAATGACAGTCAGCGACCTCATGGTGAACACAACACGGAAGAGATTTACCGATAATGTAGTGCGATCTTTTGCCTTTGATTTCCATGGGGAAACGGCATGATTTTTTTTTTAATCAAGAAATTATTTGTTTTCGAAAGATAAATTATTCTTCAATGCTCAGTTTAACACCTTTATGGTGATAAAAGCTCATTGTCTAAAACTTACGAAACACAGACATATTCAGAAAGAGTATTGACAGAGGTCGCCGCCAGAACAAAGGCAGTTTCATTGCCTGTCTGACATCTTATCACCGCTGAACAATAAATAGATGTGAATATTTTTAGGCATGTTGTCGAAACAAATGAATAGGATTAGGAACAATGCCGTTTTGGAACAGCTGGTTGAAACAATGAAGTCAGTCACGGTCTTGTTGAATTGGGGGTGCAGTTAGTAATAGGTACTTTTCAAGTTTTCAATTTTTGTTAAGAACTCTTTAACCCTGAATCGGGGGTGCGGTTACTATTACGTATGCGGTTTATATTAGGACTTTAATGGTAGTACATATAAACCAAAAATTGCATTGACTGTATGCTGGATCCTTAAAATATGACCTACTTTGACCATAGACACACTGCTGTGATTTAGGTAAGAATGTGCGCTATTAGAGCAAATACAGTATATTCCATAAGATAGTTAACGAGTGAGGAATTACGTTCACTCACGTTAGTACATGCCAAGAATCTAGTACAGCACACAGCAACGATTTGTTGCATAGCTTCTCACCTTCAAGTCTCTGTGCACAATGTTCATGTCATGAAAGTACTCTACCGCTTCAAGAACTTGTTTCATGATTTGTCTGTAATACAACAGAATTATAAACTGATGACTCCTTCAAATCAGTGCGTTTTATTTTATCATTACAGCTGTTGATATTTATTTATTAAAATTCAGAACAACGAGCAAAACCCACTTACAAATCAGGAATGAGAACAAGTTCCAGTCATCCTCCTATTCATTGCGACAAGGACATTATGTTTTTTTTTATGTGCACTAAAAACACAGGAAAACATTCAAAGACAGACAGGTTTGGGTTTTCTCAGACTGGATGCTTTTCCCCCCACTAGTGCGGCTGATCTGCACTGGCTCGGAAGATGAATTCTGATTGGCTAAAAAAACAAAAAAACTTGTGGCGTTGAATGCACGTTCATTGTCAGTATTGTTATGCAAATTCAAACTAGCTAATCATTTACAACCTTCCGAGCCAGTGCAGATTAGCCCCACTAGTGAAAGCCCAGAGAGTAGAAAGTATATACTTTATGTCTTCAGGCAGACACACTAAATATCATTAACTGATACATCAGGATCAATGGCAATATAGAAGAATGATTTATTCTCCATTCGACTCTTTAACCCAATTCCGAATTATTCATAAAATATTTGATGAGTCCAACTTAAACTGAAGAAAATCAGAGGCCACAACATTTTTTTTGCACCTTTACCTGCAGTCACATCTTGATTGTTTTTGTCCTTGAAGCAGTCGACACGCTGACCTGACTGCTAGAGGGCACACTGCATGTTATTGTCATATTTAGATGTGGTAAAACTATAACCATACAAACATTGACTTACCGAGTTTTCTTTTCTGAAAGTGTAACAACTGATGTTAAATAATCAAATAACTCTCCCTGTTTGCACCTAGTGATATGAAAGCAATATAACACACAAAAATTAACCTGATTCCTACTGTGGTTTAGGTTTACAAACAAAAATCTTTACAAAATTGATGACAGCACACAAAATTAACAAGATCCAGTAATGTTTTTATACATAGTAAACAATGACCAGGACTGCTGAGCCGTGAATAAACATTTCCAAAATTTATGTTCAAACTTGGCTTCAGAATAAGATTCCATTAAAAGCACACTTTCAATATTTTTTATTTTTATTGTTGTTAATTTCGATTTTGAATGGCAGTTGTTATCATTTAAGTTGTCATAGCACCCTCACACAGATACTCTGAAAATTCTTCTTTTGTTTTTATTTAGAGCCAGCCATGCTAATGAACATACTGACATATCGTTGAAACTGGTCGTAATTACAAAACATTAGATGTCCTACACAGTCAATCATTTGTTATGAAAAAAACATTTTCATCAAAACAAGACTTGCGATGTTTCATGGTAAACTGGTCTGTAATTACAAAACATTAGATGTCCTACACAGTCAATCATTTGTTATGAAAAAAACATTTCCATCAAAACATGACTTACGATGTTTCATGGTAAAAAAAGAAAACAGACTATGAATACGACTGACAAAAGACCTGCAGATTTAATGCATCAAAATACATTTCATCTGTTTAATATTTTCACCACCAGACTTTCTCGCCCACATTTTTCTACACTTTTTTTCTTATATTATTCAATATTTCTGGAAATGAACCCCAATTTTGCAGCCAAAAATTTGAGTCAATTTTTTAGTTTTTACTGAAAAAATTTGGCTATTTTCAAAAAAACATGGCGGATCACTGTTCTAAAACATTCGTATGTGATAATACAACATGAGGTATACATTTATTTCATAGTAATCATGAGAAACGTTTTATTTTAGTATTGACCCAGGACTGAATAATAAGCAATGCTGTTAGAACTTTCAAACATTTTTTGTTTTCATTAATTAAAGCCCAAATCAGAGTCAAACCATTATTCCAAGAAAAAAACCCTGAAGTAGACCAAATTTTGGAAAATGAAAAACATGACAATTCTGTGATTGGTCGAATTTGTAGAAGCCAATAAATTAAGAAAATCTGATAAATAATAATAAGGTGGTTGAATTTGACTGAATTTTGGCATTAAAAATGGCCACCAATCGATTTGATCAAATCGGAAAATAAATTTACATGCACATGTATGGTTAACCACTATGTCTTTGTACCAAGTTTTTAAAAAATCGGCCCAGTCATCTCCGAGAAATCCCTCGGACGGACTGACGAAGGCAAGCTACTATTTTGTCTGGGTGGGGACTAATAATAAGGTTGTTGAATTTTGAGAGTACTAGTAGGTAAGATTTGTACAGTTACATATAATATACCATGATACTTTATATAAGATTTATACTTACAGCTCAAATATGAGAAACAAGAAAGCCGGACTCTCGTAGAAATCAACAAACCCAACTAATAACAGAAGAAAGACAAAATATAGTGTGTGGCAAAATAAGCGAAAAAAGATGAAAAAATATTGACTATTGATGGAGGCACACTAACCACAAACTTTTTTTTGTCTGAACTGTAATAAAACCACAATACTTACTGATATTTGGGTGTCCTGCCACTTTTTGTAGGATTTTGACTTCATTTCTGGTGGCTTCGTCCAACGCCTCTACCTCTTCATCACTGCCTCTCTCATTGCAAATGTCAATTATCTTCACCGCGTATTCGTATCCTGTGTCTTTGTGAATACATCGTCTAACCACGCTGCTGATACCTCTGTTGACAGTGTAATCATTTGCATTGAATAATTTAGTTTTTATTCATTTCATTGTTATGTATGAACGTATGAATAACCCAAATACAAGGGCTTGTAAAATAAAGTATCGATACTACCAGCCTGCGGTAAATCTGCTTCTCTTCTCTAATGTACAGAAACTACACACAATTATCCCAATCTAAGAGAACATAATTCTCCCAAATCTAATATACTGTAGAATACTTTATTTTCGCTTGGAATTGATTTTCATACTTTTTCACTGAAGGAATGATTCAATGAAAATAAAATCCAGCGAATATACCTTTTTTCCTATATTTTAAATTCAACTTGTCAAAAATCAGTGAAAATAAATTCCAAACAAAACACCCAAAAAGTATATTCAGCGAAAATTAAATCCAGCTAAAATAAAGTATTTTACAGTAGTGTTTTTGGTTGTCCTCGGTAGAATTATCATGCGACTAGTGTCACAATCAAGGCATGTTCACCTGTCCCAGTAAGGCAAAATTGGCTTAGTTGTTGTCAAAACAAATCTTTTTTGAGTTTCAGTTTGTAAAATATACAATTTAAACCTTAAGAACCATTTTTAATAAGGACAGTTACAGTGTGGATTGCACAGTGTGCATTTCTGCTGCATATTTTAAACCCTGGTATTTTTTTTTACTATACACAAATCAAACATAGATTGTAACAAACTCATTTATTTAATATTGGACACAGATGAAGTTGCGTTCGCGAACGCTACAAAGTGGTATAAATTTGAAGAGTTGTTCAGAATTCAATGATAGTTAATACCCGTTGTATCCCCAAACTGTATCACTAAAACCACCATTTCGATCACTCCTGTGCCAGTGACCATCAACATAATTTTTTATTTGGGATTTGAGAAACTTAACATGAATCGTTATAGCATTCATGCGCACAATACTTCACCATGTTTCAACTTTTAAGTAGTCAGTAAACAAGGTCTTTCATAGTAGCATTTCTATGGGATTGACATACTAGAATGAATGGGTTCAATTATCACTGTTCACTGATGACATCATTTGACTAGCCCTCCAGAGGCGAAATGACACCAGGCAAAGCGAACGTTTGTAGTCTACTTCATAGCACATTTTATATCCGATATTTAGGGAAATTCGCAGCACATACAAGTTGTTTTTATCGCAAGAATTCATTCATAGATCTCAAATTTTATGTACAGAGTGACAAAAGCCAAACCTCTACTCCCCTACTATTAGTTTGAATATTTTGAATAATGGCCTAATTTCAAACACTTGTTGATTTCTTATATTTGAGTATTTGTTTATAATATTACATGATCATTCAGATTTCATTTAAGTACAGTATGCAAATGTAAAGTTTAAACCATTTGAACAAACTACTATTATGATACAGAATAAACAAACTGAAAATGAATTAAATAGTATAAACTGATATCAGATTTACATCTATGCAAACAACAAACAAGTACAAATAGTTTGTTTGCATTTGGTCAAACTGCTGCAAAGATACACAAAGAACATACTGAACTTGGTTTGAACAGTTTTGTAAATAGCTAGAAAGTTCACAGATTGATGCCAAACCAGCCATGTCACCACTAAAATAGTATGTATGTACTAAGTTTTAATCCATCTGAGAAAATTGTTTAGAACATTGAGGGAAAAAAATGCTAAAAATAGTTATCTGTTATGCAAATTAGCCAATTAATATGCAGAGATTTGTACCAAAATCAAATCAGGCCTGGTACTCATCACAAAGTGTCTGTGTACTAAATTGTATTCCAATCAACCAAGTGGTTCCTGAGATATCCATCCATACAGACAGAGACAGACATACAGACAGACAGACAGACAGACAGACAGACAGACAGACATACAGACAGACAGACAGACAGACAGACAGACAGACAGACAGACAGATAGATAGACATCTGTATATCATTAGCCTCAATTTGTGCTCTGTACATAGGGAGCCAAAAATGGGGAAAATTTGGGACCAACATTTTGTTGTGAAAAATTATAAACGACAGCCTGACATGTACTTTCCAATAATCATTGTGATTACTATATATATATATATATATATATATATATATATATATATATATATATATATATATATATATATATATATGTATATA